AAAGAGATATCGTTGGGTGACCATCTTCAGTTGGTGGCTGAAAGAGTGGCTGAGGTGGATGTGTAAAGCAGACAAGAGACTGTCGAGAACCAGGCAAGGGATGATGGTACGCCCTCGCGTAGGCACTAGTTCATTAAGTTTAGCAAGTGATTGTGGCGACATTAGGGTAGTGATTTCCATCATTAATGTTTGTCAACCTCTTGGAAGGGCATGTGCCTTGAGTAAGATGGGCATGAGTGCGCTGTAGTTTGAGACTCTGCCTGGAGAGCAAGGCAAGCAGCTCTGCTAGTGAAAGGAAGTTGAGCAGTTCCTGACAGTATGCTTTGGACAGATGCGCAGAGAGCCACGGAATCCTCGGTGCATTGAACAAAGCTGCAAACTTGGCATATTGGGTTGTCGCACTCGGAAGCATTGCTACTCACAAAGTCAGAAGGTAAGATTGCAGCTCCAGGAACATGATGAACAGAGGCTTGGTATCTACTGACGGTGGAGAGGAAAGTAGCAACACAAGGGCTTGAGGAAAACTCACCGCAACATAGGTTTTCAAAGGACTGTACACAAGGTTTGCTGTCAGTGAGGATACAAGGTGGTGTTTTCGCCTGAATGAAACAAGGGCTGAAGTGTTTTGTTGCAGCTGTGATGGATAAGGCCTCCGCAGTATTTCATAGACTCGCATGCGGGAGGGATTTGATAAAAGGCACTTGTGAGATCAGTAGTAATAATATGCCTCCACTAAGCAATTTGATGAAGGGTGGAATCAGTGTTGGACATGACCGATGGTTGAGGCTTGCTGTATCTTCTCCATCAGCAAAGGCGGTGACCGAGTGGTAACCACCGTTACTCTTGTTGATAAGGAATGATAGGTTTAGATACTGCTTCTCTAACTCGTCAAACTTGTTTTTGGAGGTCCACAAGTTTGCTCTGCGCATACTCAGGCAGATGACCTTTTCGTTGTGGTGGTTCACTTTAGCCTCAAAAGGGCCAGCGGCACCATTATAACCTTGGATTGTGGGGTCAAAAACAGATTCAAAGTCACTTAGGAGGGAGTGCAATGACGACTTCATATCGGGCTGTAGGAGATTGTCTGGGTCAACGTAAAAAGCTGATGAGAAGCTGGTATCATATACAGAAGGTGACAGGTTTATTGACTGCTTAGAGAGGTTGGTGGTGTGTTGAGGCTGCTCATGAGTACTAAGGGGTGAAGAACGTAAAAAGCTGATGAGAAGCTAGTATCAGATACGGAAGGTGACAGGTTTATTGACTGCTTAGAGAGGTTGGCAGTGTGTTGAGGCTGCTTGTGAGTACTAAGGGGTGAAGACGGGGTTAAACTGACAAAAGTGCTCATGTCGTTTAAGCTAAATGGGTTCGCCTGACAAGTTTGGGATTTGTATTCTTCCTGCCACGGTAGAAATAATGCCAGGAGGGGGCAACAGCTCTGAAGTGGTTACTATGTGGACCTGAGGAATGTCGGAGTGGGGCTTCAAAGCATGGAGTGACTCTGGAGGGAGATCTTGTGGGAGTTCTAGTTCGATATAATGTCCAGGCCATAATGTGGTTGAAGTTGTGGGAGAGCGGAGGACCTGAATGCGACGTGCAGCTTACTGTGTAGAACAATCATCAGAAGACCCATATGTGAAGGACGAGCCATCCGCGAGGGTAATCATCCAAGTTTTCCACGACCAGTGCTTCAAACTGGAACACATGTTGTCCGTGAGTAAAAGAAAGCTTGGTTTCACAGATGACCTTTATTGGGGATGATCCATCAGCCTGATGGGCGGACTGGGCACTCTTACAAATCTCAACTTTCATCTACTGGACAGTGGACAAATGAATCATGTTACCAGTGGCCCCACTGTCTATGGTAATATGGACAGGGTGGTGACGATAAAATGGATCCAGGTAGGGAGACTGGCGTACCTGGTTTCTCAATGCAGTGGGGGTGGGTTGCTTTCCAGTAGGCACAGGTTGGTAGTCCTGTGGTTGTTCCTCAGGATCCGACTCCACAATCAAGAATGCCCACGAACTGCCTAGCTTTTGCGATGAACTTTTGATCGGTGTCAGGGAGATAAGTGCACTTGCTTAAGTAGTTGTGGAACATTACAACTTCACGCCGATTTAAGTGTGTATTTCAGAAATGGGCATAACCGCTGGATTTTGTACCCTGAAGGCTCAATTTATTCGTCCGGACTTTCCTTTCGCTCGTTTTGACTCGGTTCAAAGAAGGTGAGATTTTATGGTGGAAGACTTAGAAGCGAATTGGAAGGAATTGAACAATGGCTTAATTAAGCTGCCCAGGGCCACGAAGTTTTAAAGGTATACTTTTGTTCTAAATGTGTCAATAAAACTGCAGAGAATTATGGCACATATCGTAGAAGTTTATGGATTTAAGTCTTTTACAAAACTTCTTCGACTTGAGTACGTATTTTTCAAAAAAGAGAGTTTTGAGAACTTCAAAAAGAGATCTTGAACGAGAAATTTCGACCACTGTGGACCGAAATTGGATTTTTTTTCTTGCCGAGGTTTTGAAGTACAAAGCAAGCCACTAAAGCATTTTTTCTCGCCTATCGCTTAATAAAATCCGGCCGGCCGAGAGTTATCTATTCATTCAATCATAACACTTATTCATTTCACTTATTCATTTCTATACCAGCGTTTCTACGAAATTATCTCGAGGAATTATAAACTCCGCAAGTTTTGATCTGTTGAATACAGTTTTAGATATTTCCTGTCTCACTCGATTAGCTCCGCGAATCCAGTTGTCATGCAAATTGGTGAACTGACATTATACGTGGTTATTTCAGGCTCTGCAATCACGTAACTGAAATGCAAGGTTTTTTTCAACAAAAAAAAACTGAAAGGCAAGCGAAAACATCCAAAAAAAGTGAAATTACACGCTAATAAATCTGTGTCATCCCGTTAAATGCATTCACCGCTTGCGTTGTTTACATTTTGAAGAGAGTTGTTCACTCTTGATTGCAGAGCGCAGGTTTTGATAATACTGAATGAATAAAACGTTCTAATAAATACCTTCCGCAGCAATTCTTTAAACGCCAAATTATTTTCAAGGCAAGGGAGTATTTAATAAAAAAATACCATAGGAGACCAGGTATTTATAAGCTTTAATCAACTTCAAATTTATCAGGCTTGTTTCCTTTGTAGTACGGTGTGTGACCGAAAATATGTTATGCAACCAGAGTTGTCCGCCACGCTTAAAAGACTTGTAAGTGTTCCCACGCCAGACCGCAGCAAATTTAACAGGCAAGTCTGAGTATTTTAATGGATAAATTTAATACTCATCAGGTAACAATGGGGATTAAAAAGTCAATCAAGCAACAAAATTCGAAACAAAAGAGACATATCGCACCTAAATCAAAGGAATTCCGCTCGTGGATTCTTCGGAAGGTTATCGACAATGGCAAGAACAAAAGCCTGAATATATGAATACTTGATGACCCCAAAATTTGGGGTACACACTTAAATCGGCGTGAAGTTGTAATGGTATCTGCGTCCGGCCTGTTTGCAGAGGGGACAGGATTTAGGGCATGTTCAGAAGCGAGTGGTAGGCTTGGCAGCCTGCGACAGGAGGAGGCAGCGCTGCGCATTACCTTAGCATCGTTACTGGCATGGATTTCATCCAGCAAAGATTGGCGAGCTTGCAAGATCTCAGGCTTCATGGAGGAAAGTGTGCGAGAGCGAGTTCAGTTCTGCAACATTGTTTCACTAGTTTTGGGAGGTCAGGATGCACAAGCCGTAACCAAGTGAGTACAATAACATTCTCCTAAGTGGGAGTCAATTCTTCATCTTCAGTGAGGAGCGCTCCATGGTGTTGTATGCTGTTGCTGTGAAGGAGGTTATCCTCTGTAAAAGCCACAAAGTCTTTGGTAAAGATCCTCAGGTCGTTCGCCGTGCTCGAGGTGGATTTCTAAAAAATCAAGGAAATGTGCTCTTGTGGCCTTGAACCTAAGATGCAGGCTTATGGCTGACCAAATGGAGCCCATAGTAGTTGAGTTCCTGAGGATGGTGATTCTGGAAATAGCTGGACAGTAATTGGCTAGCTCCGAAGGGGGCTGTTTTTGGTCCTCTTTAACCACCTAGCTCCTTCTAAGGAAAAAGGAGCGAACTGAGCACCTAAGGAAAGGGTATACACGAGGTTTTGATTCTCAAAATTCTTAAAGTAAGTTACGGTCTCTGTCTTGGTAAGGCACCATTCTTTTGGTGCACACGCAGTGGCCGCCATTGGGTTGGTCTGTGTTTATCCAGCGGATGCTATCGCTGACTGTTTTTTTGAGCATCTAAGGAAAGGGTTTACACGAGGTTTTGATGCCAATTCTCAAAGTAAGTTATGGTCTCTGTCTTGGTAAGGCACCATTCTTTCGGTGCACGCGCAGTGGCTGCCATCGGGTTGGTCTGTGTTTATCCAGTGGATGCTATCGCTGACTGTTGCTTTCCATTCGATGTTTGTTGACAAGTTTGTGATGGGGCAAACTGCTTCACTAATGAGGTGTGGAGTTCGTTTTAACTGCTGCCACCACGCCAGTCAACAAGGTAATTAGAAACAACACAACACGATCTGAACAAAATGGTGGAAAAGTAACAACAACAACAACAACGTCCACAGAGCAAAGGAGTCTGGGTAAAGACAGAGTCCACTTGCCTAGGTAACACAACTAAAAATGGCTAATGCCACACGGCCCTATTTTCTCTGCATATGTCTGAAAATTTCCTTGGCTATCGTCGTCACCAATTGTAGAGTCCAAATATACTCATTCAAGCAACGGATTGAAGCGGATTAAAACAACTGAATAAGGTATTGCCATTCTAAACTCCTTGACTCACGTGCTTCCTTGATCGTCTACCCATAATCGTCTTTCCATATCCCACCATAAATAAACAGCACTGATTTTTTCTGTAGTCTTGAACTTCCTTTTCTCTATACCAAGGACAACATGGCGAACCAAGATAACAGCACACTGTTCATTCATGCTGGGTTCAGTGGGCACTCATGCTTTCCTAGCTTCTTGCAGATATAGCTGCTTTCTCAAGGTCTCCTCTTGTTTCAACCTTTCTTGCTCTTGACTTTGGTGAGTAGCAAGGGACTCTTCATACTCGTTCTCTTGTTGGCGCCTTATGTTCGCTCCGTCAGAGGAGGTGCCAATCAGTTTACTCCGACTTATATCAACACCTGCGTCACCTCCCCTAGTGTCAACTTGGTTAACCATCCTATCCACTTCGAAAGCTGGTGGGAGCTCATGATCAGACTCCAAACTTTCACATTGCTTTTTGTCAGATTTAGTTATCAGGTAAAGTCTCACTCTGGTCAAAGCATTTTCAGCAATGTATTTAGACAAAGTCCAGTTCTTTGCTATTTCTTGACATGTGAAATTTCCAACTGAATTTCTCATTTCTGCGATGTTACCAAAAAGGCTCTCACCATTAGGGAAGAAAATGGATTTCCCAATCTTAACCAAATCTTGTATATTTGAGTCATCTTGTACACTTATGGTTCTGGTGACACCACCTTTCAAAAGAGGAACAGACACATACCTTCTCTGTGAAGGATCGAAGTGTAGCCATCCCAAATGGATCGTATGTTGGCTTGTTTCTTTACCCTTGTAGCTACATGTAGCTGCAGATCCAGTCAGCCTGATACAGTACCAGTTTCATCTTCAGTCTTTCTTTTCGTGGGTTTTCCTTTCCCTTTAAGAAGATCCAGTAACTTTCTTTTCTTTTTATCTCTGTTTTCTCCTTTTAATTTTTGCTTCACAAATCCTTGCAAGGAAATTAGATCGCCTCTTCTTAAGACTCCTAGTTTCTTCAACTAGTCATCAGTGGCAGTGGTTACTGTGGGAATAATCAGTCTAGACAAAATAAAAGGCAATCGTTTTTTCATAGGTTGTGCCATTAAGTGCTGTACTCAAGTGAGTAGACATTTTGCAGTTGTTTTTATACCAAATAATTTTATCCATTTTATACTTGTTCTCAGAATCAAATCTTTTCAGTCAATATTTATTTATTAATTATAAATAAAGGCCAACTGGTAGACATTCCAATTTTTTAACTTATCACAACATTTCCAGAGACTTTGATGATAGAATGAGCCTACATGTGACGAACTTCCAAGAGAAAAGAGCTTAACGAAGGAGTTTATCACTGTTTGCCTTGTAAATTGAGTTGTGACAAATGAATAACAATTCTTCAAGGAAGAGGCTAAGCTTACCATCTCATCTCTGAATCCACGGACCTCTTTGTCTTTCAGCCCTCTTTTTTCGAGAAATTTGCAGATATGAAGGCAGAAGTCAAATGGTATGGTTGGTGTTCGATTTAATATTTTTATACAATTCGAAGTGAGCAGAAGCAGGTAAGAGCAAATAGTAATAGTATGTTTACCTCATCGACTTCATTCTCGGACTCTGCCACCTCGATCAACACATGGCACAGAACTTGAGCCCACAATAGAAATGGTAAGTCGTTTAAAAAGTCGCTAACAAGAGAAAAGTGTCTGGTTTTCTACATGGAACCTCAGAGCCACCATAACTATGCTGTTGGCAGAGTCGCTTTGATCTTTCCTTTTTTCCGACTTATCTAGGAAAGATCGAAGTGACTCTGCTGGCAGCATAGTTATGGTGGCTCTGAGGTTCCATGTAGAAACCACCTGTTAAAATTGTCATTTAAATTTGTCTCAAAATTTCTCTTCCCATCGACTAAAATTTTTCTGGGAAAAATTGCAGACAGATATATGGAAATATAAAGGAACGTATGGGGAAATGTAAGCACAGTAATGGCCCCCGCAATTTGTTAGTAAAATCCTTTGCTGTGTAGCTTTACAATTCATATTTTGTTCAGAACAGCCGTTTTATGGAAATTACTCGACATTAGACTCTCATACAAACACGTACATTTCTCACATATTTGCCCATTCGTCAAGATAGTGTCAAAAACCGTGACAAGGTCTATTGAGTAGGCAGTGCTGTCAACTCTCCCAGATAATCCGGGAGACTCCAGGTTGCGGACTGTATCTCCCCATCTCTAGCTTAGAGTCTGATATCTGCAGAATATTCACCAAAGTTGCTACAGTGTATTTCCCGTAGACTCAACTTTCCAACCGTAAGATTTCCATATTTTGCGTGGTCTGAGCTGCTGTTAACATGGAACGTTTCCTCAAAAATTCTTGTATGCCAGTGTAATTTAACCAATAATGTGGATAAATATGAACTGTTTATGTGCTATATTCGATCAGAATTAACTGGCGTTTTTGGCACAAATGACCTCATTTGTGGTGCGATATGACGTCATCTATTATCTCTTCCCTATCAATTCTCAATATTTGATGACATGGGCGGTTGACAGCCCTGAGTAGGGCTTTCCACAAGTTGCTAGAGATTTCTCAAAACATTGCTTAAAAGTCGCTTAAAAAAGTCAAAAGTTGCTTTTTTGTGATGGAAGTTGCTCAATAGTTCCCCCCAAAAACAATACCTTCGAAAAATATGCAAATTGTGAAACAAAATCTAGAATTTCTAAGCATTTTTGCTCTCGGGGTGACACTAAACGACTTTGTTCTCAATTAAAAGCAAAAAAATTATGGGTGGAGACATTGCATCAATAGAGAGATTAGGATTCACGTTTATGCCAAACGGCAAACGTCAGATTCAAGTTGAGAATTTCTCAGAATAGAAAATAAGCAGATAAAAACTGTCCAGGACAATTTTTATGTATAAAACTGGCGTAAAACTACTTTGAAATAATAAACAGTTAACAGCAATTAACGGAAAAACTTGGTCACGTGGTACAAATTCACATTTGCCGTTTGGCGTAAACGTGAATCTTAATCTCTTTCATATCAGGAGCCCATGGCCTCATAGTCAAGGGCCCCTTTCAATATCAAAATTAATCTTGTGAAGGTTCTAGTATAAGTCAATATAATTGTTTCACTTCAGATGGGATTTGCCGGTATTTTGAATTTTCTTTTAAAAATCGCTGACCTAGCAGCCTGGCTGCATGCATCTTGCGCCAATGATCTGCCCCAGGGAGGACGACCTGGCTCCTTTTTCACAGGAAATTCATAAATTGTCTGCTTAAACATTGTGAAATATGGAATTTAAGGGCAATTTAAGCTCTAAAGGCTGCTCCAATATCTCAGAATTGCTAGAAAACTAGAGAAATTGCTCAGACTGCAAAAAGTTGCTCGAAACGAAAAAAGCTGTTTGAAATATGAGAAGTTGCTAAAAAGTTGTCGAGCAACTTGTGGAGAGCCCTACTATTGAGCCTATGACTAACGGATTCAAGAGTACCTAACAAGAAAGAATTCAAAAGTGATTGGATATCCCCCTTAGTAATATTTTAACAGTTACTAATTGTTTTTTAATTGATTATTAACATATGTGGCAAAATTATATCCGCTCCCCAAAGCCAGCTAGAACTGGATATTAAAATATAATATCCAGCCAGGATCTTTACCTTAAGGGATTTTCCCAGACAGGATTCTTACCAAAAAGGCATTTCCCCAGCCAGGAATGTGTCTTTCTTCCCTTTTTTTGCCAGCAAAAAAATAACCGACATTTAGCTAGCCAGGAAGATAAATTGAGCCATTTTATCCACGTGTTATGAAAAAATCTAACTCAACGAAAACTTAATTGTGTTTGAGACATTTTCTTTGCTTATAACTTCAGTTCACATTAACACAGGAGGAAAATGTCATTTCTATGCTGTCACTGGTCTGTGGAGAATATAAGTCGTCTTCACTTCACTCCAAATGAGAGCAAAGTTGCAAGACTGGAAAGAATCAACTAAGAGTTGGTTCACCTGATTTGAACGCAAACTACGACATCAGGACTGACTAACAACTGCGTTTCCAGGGTTCGAAACACTGGTAACAAGATTGGATTCGTTAAGAGAATGTCTAGAGAGCACATTCGCCAAACATTTAACGCGTACTTGCTCTTCTTATGTTCTCCCCACCCCTCCAAAAGCTCAGGTCTAAATTTTATCAAAAACTACACATTCTGCTGTCAACAAGAAAGTAACAAGAATTTTGATGAATGTTGTACACAACTCACTATCCAGTACAGACAAAATCAAGTGACCACAAGGTGCATTCCAGTATCCAAAACAGTGACGTTATTTCAGCCGATACGGAAATGAAATAGAAAAAAAACATTGTCTATCTAGTGCCAATCAGATGCCTCGAAGACACCCTCTCAGTAGCAGTAGAAACTCCATGCCAGGAATACAAAGTCTATTACTTATAATATATAAGTAATAGATGGAAGAGGAAGATGTAGGGAGATGCAAAGGAAGCAAAGTGGACGGTTTGTTATGGAACCTATCAAATATGTCTGATGACGCGTCCATCTTGTTGACGGGTATGATTTCTTCTGCACCACTTAATATTTCAGTTGCATCAGAAAGTGATGAACGTAGTGGTAGAAGTGAACAAACTGTCTGCAAAAGCAGTAGAGACATACCAACCCCGATGATCATTATAGGAGCCCACTTAGTTATCCTTTATACAGACAGAGTGGAAGACTTTTAAGGTTTTGTCATAGTTGAAATTTCCTTCACTCTCGAAAATTTTGCTGTCACTGACTGTAGGAGGGATATCAGAACAAATCACAGTAGTTTCATTAGGATTTCTACCTAGGACACTTTCCAAATCGGTTAGAATCGTAGAGGGACTACCAGGCACACTCTTCTGACCACCAAAATGTGATTTGGAACGATCGGGGCTTGTTTTTTTTACATGAAATTAATATCTTTTGACAGGGATGCTGGTTAAATCATTAGCAGCTTCTGCTTATGCAGCTGATCTGGTCCACAATGGCTGTTTCTTACAAGTATGTACCTTAATATCGCAAGGCAACTTCTGCCTCAGGAACTGGAAAGCCCCGGGCCTCTTCCTCTTAATTTGGTATACTTTTGCAAAATATATTATATTACCTACATGTCAAAAAAAATTATCTTTTTGGATCCTCATCCAATTGATTGCTTTCTTTGTAATGAATCCACAGGTTTTGCTTCGTGGTGATGTCATTCTCTTTCGCAGTAAGTATTTACACATCCACTCTTGGACAGCTTTGCGCTGAATGCTTGTTTGAGGGGCTAATTGGTTAGACTACCACACCGTGGTGACCTCTTTATTGAAACTCTCAGGCGCTTTGACTGCAAGAGGTGTAACTGATACCGACGTTTTTTTTATCGCGTGTCAGTGCATTTTCACAGGAGCACTCAAAAAAGGAGCACCTTGTATCCCACTAGCCGGCCCTTTTGGTTAACCGGACACACATTCTTATACTCCAAACAAGATAGCACCAATCCAAGTTAAGAAAAATTATTCTCTTCCTACCTTTACGTGTGTTTTACAAGCAAAACTTTTCCATATCTCTTCCTTAGTGACAATGCTGTCTTCGTCGCTTCCTTCTGATACATGGTTTTGAAGCCATCATTCGACGTCTGAGATCTCGAGATAGAATAGATAAGATTATTATTTCAACCTAGTGTATTCCATGAACAACAAAAGCAATGAAAACAAATTTAATTTTATTATTATTATTTTTTAATCAACTGACTATCAAAAACTAATAAAAAGACATCCTGGCGAATACAAATAGTGTTCGAGTTAGGTTCTTTCTAAGGAAGAGGTTTCCAGACGTATCTCATTGTTTTCACTTTGCTGGTGATGAGCCATTTGCTTGTTTTCGTGCTTTTTTTTTATATGCGGAAATAGAACGTGATGCACTTATCACTTATCCCAAGCTTTGGAACCTTCATTCAGCTATAGGCACTTTACCATAGCAGTTGGTTGCAAAGTGGCTCGTGACACATCGTTTAAGCAGGTAACTACAAATATATTTACATCAATATTTGTGAAGGTAATTACTCTCTCTCAGTGTCCTTTCCAGCACCATCTACATCATCTCTGGGGTTAAAAGGTAACATTTGTTATTCTATCTATTTCTCCGGCTCTGTCCTGTTTTTGCCTAGTGTTTGGAGGTGGCGGAGAGAAGCGCTGCATGTTCCTCTGATTTCTCTCCNAGATAGAATAGATAAGATTATTATTTCAACCTAGTGTATTCCATGAACAACAAAAGCAATGAAAACAAATTTAATTTTATTATTATTATTTTTTAATCAACTGACTATCAAAAACTAATAAAAAGACATCCTGGCGAATACAAATAGTGTTCGAGTTAGGTTCTTTCTAAGGAAGAGGTTTCCAGACGTATCTCATTGTTTTCACTTTGCTGGTGATGAGCCATTTGCTTGTTTTCGTGCTTTTTTTTTATATGCGGAAATAGAACGTGATGCACTTATCACTTATCCCAAGCTTTGGAACCTTCATTCAGCTATAGGCACTTTACCATAGCAGTTGGTTGCAAAGTGGCTCGTGACACATCGTTTAAGCAGGTAACTACAAATATATTTACATCAATATATGTGAAGTTAATTACTCTCTCTCAGTGTCCTTTCTAGCACCATCTACATCATCTCTGGGGTTAAAAGGTAACATTTGTTATTCTATCTATTTCTCCGGCTCTGTCCTGTTTTTGCCTAGTGTTTGGAGGTGGCGGAGAGAAGCGCTGCATGTTCCTCTGATTTCTCTCCCATGTCAAATCAAATCAAACCTAGTGGTTGGAATATATTTAATGTTGGGTATTAAACAAACTAACCTCAGGAAAGATTGTAGTTTACTACCCTTATCTTTTATTTTTCATGTATTTATTTATTAATCACTCAATGGTAGGCAAAATAGAGCAATAAAACTGCTGGAGATTTTGCTCACAATTTGCTAATACACTCATAGCAACCGGAGGGGCCAACAAAAAACTTGAAAGTAAATACAAATTATTGTTAGCAGAACAGTCTTTAAGTACCTTGATGAGGAAAAAAAACATTACATTCAATGAATGGCATACCTTTCACTTTCCTTTTCTGTGTACCGACTCTTCATATTCATTTTAAATTACTGCGTTACTCTAACTACATATTATTATGCATCTGTCAATTCCAGCTGCGCCAAAGCTAATGGGAGACTTCACGTTGTGACGACACCAGTTTATGGTTTTAGTATTGTTATAAAATTATTGATATATTTTAAAATTAATAGTGCAATGTAAAGTTAACTGCTATGGATAGTTTTATAAATATGAAAGGATGTTCTTCTGATAATATCATGAGAAACTTGATTCAATAACCCAAAAAACGTCTCTTCACGTCGATAGCTCCCGATTTTCGCTTTGTAATTCTGGCTTGATAAGCAATGAAGAAATGCATGCATAAAATTGAGACCATGCCTTTACAAACCTCTTCAATTTTTTCCCATCCTTGACAAATGAGCCAATCTGCTTGTTTTTCAAGTAAAATCCCCTGTGTAGTAATATTCTGATGGGAAACTGGGTGCGTGTCAAAAGCTAGGGGTTGGCAAATGCCCGGCCCCCGGGAAGTGCAAAATTTGCAAATGCCCCACCCCCGGGACTGACAGGGCGAGCAAATACCCTGCAGTAGCCCAGGGGGGCTGGGAGCAGCTGGAATTGACTGACGCATTACTCGCCAACATGGATTTACTTCATATGCAGCCCAAGACCATAATTGGTCAAAAGTGACGATCGCTGCGAAAGCTTCACAGGATAAAAGACAACTGTTCACAGAAAAGGCCATTACTGGCAATCACCGCACAAGGCTTGCGAAACCTGTAAAGACAATTTCAGAAGAAGCCCTTTTTTAACTCCAACCCCACACTTAAATCATATATAAACTAGGGGCACTCAATCAGTGGTTGGTTCCGGTAATTCTACTTTTTGCCAAAAATTTGGATTACAAAAATGAAACATGCTTTAACCTCAAGGTCCTTATTTTTATTTTACATCCAAAGCTAAAAAATGGATATCTTTTTTAACTTTGACTCGCTGTTATGAAGACCTGAGGAAAGTGCCCTCTTTTCTCATAAAAAGCCAGATATTTTTAGGATTTGTCTTCAATATGAAGTAAACCAACTTTCTTGAGTAATATTTATATCTCACTAATCGCGAAAAAGGAAGGAAGGAAAATTTCTCGTGTTTTTACAGCTTTTTACCTTTTTGAACAAAGTCGAAAAAAGTCAACTTTTTTTACCTTTCTTTGTTTTTGACTTTTTGGCTGGCAGCTGTCAATTTGGACATCAGCAGTGAATTCGCAGAGCTTGACAGCTGTCAACATGTAGTTTACGTGTCTTCCTTTGTACCGTTTGTCGACTGGTAATCTACGGTGGCCGATAGTAACAAAACAGATCACAAAACTCAAAATAGAATCACAACACCCTAAAACAAAATCCCAAAACTCAAAACAGAATCACAAAACCCAAAACAGAATCGCAAAATTTAAAACAGAAACACAAGACTCAAAACAGAATCACAAAACTGTTAAACAGAATCGCAAAACCCAAAACAAAATCACAAAACCCAAAACAGAATCACAAAACTCAAAACAGAAACACAAAACTCAAAACGGAAACACAAAACCAAAAGTGGAAACACGAAATAGCAGAATAACAGAGAATAAAAAAAAACAGTGACACAAAACAGTGGATTAGCCAGGTTACCAAGACAGACACGTGTAATCACAAAGGTTCAACCTCCTGCTTAGTGTAGAACGTGGCTTCTTTGGTAAATCACTTTTCTTTTTCCCCCACTGTTTTCGTATTTCTATTGTGTCAATTTGTTTTCATTAATGCTTTTCCCGCCTGTCCAGTTGTGAGCAATTTTGATTCGCTGGAAGATTGCATACGCTCATATTGGTTTTTTTTAAATTTATAATCACACTTGGCATTCACTTACAATACAGCTACACAACTTAAAATACAAATACGGTACTTACAACAAGACTACAAAAATTACTTACGTTACAGCTTTACTACTTACTTGTTTGGTACTTACTTACATTAAAATACCTAAAACTAGTTTACAACAAACAAAAGGACTACTAAAGACAATAAATAAATAAAAAGAAAAGAAAGAAAGAAAAAAGGCGACTAATCTGCCGGTTTTTAGCAATAACTACTTGAGATAACATTGACAACAATTACTAATATTAATAATAAATTATAAATATGTATAATTAGATGATTAATAAGATGATTAATAAACAGTGCGGAAAGATATGTGAAATAGATACTTTAATTAAGAAATATTGGCGGTATGTCTAGCTCTCAATTGCACTTTGGCCTTGGTTCATTTACAGAAAATGGATAAATAGGAAAGCTTTTATTTTACCAAAAGCTATGTAATGTTGAGAAGTGGACGTAAACGATTCCATTTCTTAGAAGTTGCATCAATGTTGTTGGACTCTATGTAAAACTGCGATTTAAGGGACATAAGAAAAGTTGTTAAATTCGGAATTTTCTGGTTGACCCTGCAGCTCCATATATAATATCTTGCCAGGAGAAGGCCGAAATTTAGTTGAAGTGAAAACTTGGAGGTGTCTGGTTTCAGGCCCAGATATACAGCAGTGTATTTTGGATAATCTATCGTTATTAAATTGATCTGCTTTAGTTTTTCAGTCAAATTTTCCCAAAAGGTGGCTACTATTGTACAGTTCCAGAAGAGGTGGATTAGGTTTTCGGGATGGATGGTACAGAAAGAGCAGTTCGGGTCCTGCTTTATATCAATTTTTGTTAGGAAAAGGTTCGTTGGTAAAATTCGGTGAAGGAATCTAAATTGAAAGTTTACAAGTTTTGTGCTTTTTGTGCACCTAGCTGCCAGACAATAGGCGCTGGTCCAGTCAGCAGAGCATCTTTGGTCGGATTTAATGCTGTCATTCCATTTCTCTTGGCTCTTAACAGGTACGGTGCTTTTGGAAGAGAGGAGCTTCTGGTATACAACTCTGTTCACTTTATCGTTCTTGAAAAAAGTCTCGGAGAAGGTCCCGGAGGAGGTATTGGGAATGTCTGTGCTACTGGGTTCTTTACTAAGAAAGTTAGTCTTATAATGGTGTCGAAGGGCAGAAATTAAGCCGAAGTACTTTATGGGTTGTATTTGTATTTTGTAAGTGCTGATAAAATCTGCTAGGGGGAGAAAATTCCGCGAGTCTGTCATTAAGTGGGCTACCTTAGTGATTCCATGCAGGAAAAGATGTTTGTAGAAGACCGGTCTGTTTTCGATCCTAATCAGCGAATTATGCCATATATGTTGTTCAAGGAATTGCTGCTCGGTTTTGATTTTAGCATCAAAATTAATTTCTGACCATATTTCTAAAATTTCTTGTAGAAATGGGTCTTGGACCGATATCGACTTTGAAATGTCACGTTTGTGTAAATTACATGTGAAGACTAGTTTGCCGCCGTACTTCTTAAGTTCTACTTCAAAAAAGTATTTCCATTTTCCGCGGTTAGAGTCGTCAAGGTATTTTTTGATCCAAACAGTCTTGAGCGATTTGGTAAATGAAGCGATGTCAATCATTTTTAACCCTCCATTGTTATAGTCGTTTGTCATGACACTTCGCTTAATCTTATCGCACTTATTGTTCCAAAGAAAGCTGAAGAAAAGATCGTTTATTTCTTTGATAATTTTATGATTTGTCGGCAGCGGAGCTAAAATATACGTAAGTTGAGATGCCGCTAAGCTTTTAATAACTTGGATTTTGCCGAGTAACGTTAGCCGCCTATATTTCCAATTGCTTAATATGTTTTTAATTTTGTCCGCTTTTTCCCTATAGTTTAAGCTTAATGTGATATCAGGATCGGTAGAAAGCCAAACGCCAAGGACCTTAACTTTGTTTTCTGGCCATTTAAAATTCTTCTCGGGAAGAAGTTTTTCCTTATTTCCTGCCATTGATCCAATCCATAGAGCTTCAGTCTTTTTACTGTTGAGTCTGAGACCAGACATACTGCTAAAAGTCTCGATCATCTTAAGTGTGGCGGATAATGAATCTCTAGTACCGTTAAGAATGAAAGTTGTGTCATCTGCGTACTGGCTAATTTTAATTTCTGAGTTGTTTACAGATATTCCTTTAATGTTCTTGTTCGATCTGGTTGCTTTAGCTAAAATTTCAGCAGATAGTATAAATAGGTACGGCGAAAGAGGGCAACCTTGCCTAACACCTCTTTGTGGTTGAAAAAAACAACTCGTCCAGCCATTGTTTAGGACACAGCTTTCGATGTTCTTGTAAAATGTTTGAACCCAGGTTATCAAAGAAGAGCCGAAACCAAAGTGCTGGAGCGTGCGCTCAATAAAAGACCATTCAAGCGAATCAAAGGCTTTTTCAAAATCTACAAAGAGCAATAGCCCAGGGATATTTTGTTGAGAAGCGTAGTTTATAATGTTATCTATCAATCTAATGTTTTCTCCAATAAATCTTCCTTTTAGGAAACCGGTCTGGTCGTTATTGATAAGTTTTGGGATAACAGATTTTATTCGGTTTGCGATAGCTTTCGCAGCTATTTTGTAGTCGCAGTTGAGGAGAGTAAGGGGCCGCCAGTTTTTAATGAAGTGCGGTTCTGCGTCTTTTTTTGGTATGAGTTTAATGATTCCGCGTCTCTGTGTGATCGAAAGGGCTCCTTTATCATATGAATAGTTGAGTGCACTTATTAAAAGAGGAGATAAGTCTTTCCAAAAAATTTTGTAGAACTCAGCAGGGAGTCCATCAGTTCCAGGGGTTTTGTCTCGATCCATGCTTCTTAAAGCTTTAAGACACTCTTGTTCGGTTAAATATCCTTCGCAACTCGTTGCCTCGTTGTCGTCCAGAAACGTTTCGTTTTCAGGTTGAAAAAAATCGCTGTCTGTTGGTATCACATTTTCCTGGGATGTGTAGAGCTCTTTGTAAAAGGTTTCGCATTCAGCAAGGATTTCCTTATCAGATGTGATAAATTTTTGATCGGTGATTTTAAGCTGGCTTATTGTACTCAGTTTGAAATGTCTTTTCTCAAGGTTTAGAAAATATTTAGTGTTTTTTTCGCCTTCATTGTACCATTTAATTTTACATCTCAAGATTGCCCCTTGGGTACGTACTTTAATTATCTCTTCTAATTCACTTTTGGATAGCTCAAGTTGTTCTGTTTTATTTGTTTTTTGCGTTTCGCTGACAGAAGGCTCTTCAAGTTCTTTTTCTAGTAAGGCGATTTTTTCTTCTAGCTCATGCTGTTTATGTGAAGTTTTACGCTTTTTGGCAGTAGCGAAGCTAAGAGATTTCTCTCGAATTTTAAGTTTGATCATATCCCAAAGGAGCGCAGGGTTTATCGACTTATCATTTGCGTATTCGTTCTCTGTTTCCTGGATAGTTAACCTTATCAAATCGATATAATCCTTATCGGCCAGAAGCGATGTGTTGAGTTTCCAAAAACCAGGTCCTCTTGGGTTTGAATGCAGAGATATGTTTAATGTGATCATTGAGTGGTCTGTCTTAAAGCCCGGTAGAATGTTTGCGGAGGTAATGCTACCCAGAAAGCTCTGACTTGTTAAAAAGAAATCTAGTCTACAGTGGACAGTAGGCTGTGTTTGGCGCCATGTATACCTTCTTTCTTCGGGGTTCAATATTCTCCAAGCATCAACAAGCTCGAGGTTATCGCATATCTCATAAATGGTTTTTTGCGCATTGTGATGTGTTCTGGGCAGGCCACCTTTTTTATCTTTCTCTACATCAAGGACGAGATTGAAATCGCCTCCAATAATAATTTCCTCTCCTTCGAAATCTTCAAGGTGATCAAGGAGATTCTTAAAAAAAGCTGGATCATCTTCGTTTGGCGCGTAAATATTTGCTAAGGTTATACTTTTTCCATTTGTTTTTAAGTCACACAAGATAAGGCGCCCTGAGTCATCGATGAAAGTTTTCATAATTTGAAGATCGAAATTATTGTTGAAAAGAATGCTTACTCCAGCTTTCCTGCTGGAAAGTGAGCTGAAAAGGCTTTTGTACCCCCATTCAGCAGCCCATAGGTGTGAATTTTCTTGCGTAAATCGAGTATTTCTTAGATCTGAGCCAATTAAAGGTTTCTGTTCTTTTAGCGTTATTCCCAAGGCCCCGTACATTGAGAGAAGCTACCGTTATAGTATTGTTATCTATTTTGTATATAAATAAAAGGAGATATAATAGATATCTGCACTGTTTGATTAATTGACAATAACAGCGTTATGGCCGTGCGAAGATGTCTTGCATACAGTTCAGAAAATGTAATTTAAGCTTTGAAAGAAGAAATTGCATCCGAAAGCTTTAGGTATAATTTTATCGATGTAGTTTATAAAGCTATGCACACTGGAATCGACAAAACAGCGTTGTACTAATACGAAAAGCAAACTGTTTAAGTGTTTAAGTTCTATCTCGTTCCATGACAAGATGCCTCAGAACGAGATAGAACTTAAACGTTTCTCGCAACACAGTTATGAGACTTCCTAAAGAACTGGATCATGTTGGTGTTGAACAAAGAAGAGCTCGCCGATTGCAAAGACGTGTTTACAGATGCCCAGGCCCAAATGCGATTTGGCACATTGAGGGCTACGATAAACTCACTCCATTTGGATTTGGTATCAGTGGCTGCATTGACGGCTATTCTCGGAGAAGTGTCATCAACTAACCATGATCCATCCTTGATTGCTGGATATTACATGGCTTGTGTAGAGCAACTGGCTGCCCCCGAATGGTTTGGGCTGACTGTGGCATGGAAAATAGAATCTGAGCAGCACTTCATCAAGTGTTTCACGACGATTCAAACAATCAGCAAATGTACAGACATTGATATGTGGCATCAACCTCGAATCAGAGGATAAAAGCATGGTGGTCCAATTTTAGAAAGTCTCGCAGTGAATGGTGGATTGGGTTGTTTAAAGATTTGACAGCATCGGGTGCATTTTCGCCAGGAAACCTAATCCAAACCTACTGCATTCGGTATTGCTTCATGGACATTTTGCAGAAAGAACTAGATTTTGTTGCTACTACATGGAATGAACATTTAATAAGAGGGAGTACCATGTCTGAATGTCCAAGTGGAGTCCCTGATGAGCTCTTTTTCCTCTCAGAAAACTCAGGTACAGTCTTCTTCAGTCTGAACTACACGATTTCTTCAGTCATATCTCTGATTTCTTAAGGTGTAAGTTTGTTATAACATCACCTGTTTAGATTTTACGTCAGTATTCACCCTGAACCAGTCTCATTTAAGGATTACATAACAAAGAGTGGATTTTGTCCAATCAGGACGGAAGTAGTAGGCAAATTTTGTAAAAATTCGAAGTGTTTTGTAACTGGTTTTCCCGTTAGGTACCTACCTACTAAGAACATTCTCTGCGTGAGATAATTGCTCATTGTATCGTAATTTGTTGTTATTATTTTCACTAGTAACATGATATTGTGCATTCAATTTCCCTTATAGGTGGTGTAGACATGTTGCGGCCTTTATCGCCTGTTAAAGTGTTATGGGCCAAACATAATGCAGAAAACCAGTTAATTTGAGTGGCAGCTCTGATTTTGATGCCTATGCGCGATACCTAATGAATAATCGAGGCTATCTTCCGCCAAACAACTGGGAAGAAGCCCTCAAACTATACTTTGACCTTTCGCAGCTTGCAGTGTAATCTAGGGGAAATTAAGAAAAGGAGGCATCGTGATTGACCATAACTAGAATGTTTGTGATAATCCTTTCAAACCGGCATAAATCATTATGAATAACGCCACGGAAGAATTGCTTGCTAAATACATTTTATTACTAATTAAAAGTAAGATATCAAAGAAGAATAGAGTATTACGTAGGGGTCG